GTAATAAAAGACCAGAGTATATCTCACAATTTAATAATGACCCAACAGTGTTAGTATTTATTTTAACAACTAGAGTAGGTGGTCTTGGAATTAATTTAACAGGAGCAGATAGAGTAATTATGTATGACCCAGATTGGAATCCAACAGTTGATTCTCAAGCAAAAGAAAGAACATTAAGAATTGGACAAGACAGAGATGTAATCATTTATAGACTTATTTGTTCAGGAACAATAGAAGAACATATTTATCAAAAACAAATGGCAAAAGAAATATTATCTGATAAAATTTTATGTAATGAAGAAGAAAAAACAAGAAAACAATTTAAAAAACAATTTATTCGTGAATTTTTTCAATTAATTGATGAAAAACAAAAAGAAGTTTATGAAATTGAAGGAGAGAAAGAAGAGAAAGAAGAAGTAACAACAAATGATAAAAAAAGTACTGAAAGTGATCTTATGAATAACATATATAATAAGAATGAAAATGGAATTAATCAAATCATTGAAGAAAAGTCTAAAGGGTTAACTGATATTGAAAAAAGACTAACAGATGAAGAAACCCAAAAAATTGCTGAACGAGCAATTCATCAATTAAAAATGGAAAAAAAAAGAGAAATGATGACAGAAAAGAAATCAGGAGATATAAACAAATCAAATTTAGAAAAGAAGTCAATTGCAGAAAGATTAGCTGATTTTATTGAAAGTAAAAATGGTAAAGGAGTTAGTACTAATGAAGTAATAGATAAATTTGCTGATGACGTAAAAGGAAATAATGAATGTAGAATTTTTAAAGAAATCTTAAAAAAAATGTGTAAATTCAATCCAAAATTAAGAATGTGGATTCCAAGATAAATTAATTTTGATGTTTACTGTTCTTTTTATTAAAAATTATTATTCTTTTGAGAATTATTACATATGAATTTCAATTTAATTTAAATACAACATATTCAAAAGAATTTTTATTGTGTAGAATTGACTAATCCACTATAAATCATATAAGCTTAAAACATAATACAATATAACCTTTAATAAATCTTAGACATATAAATACTTTTAAAAAAGACTATAATTCATTAATAACAAAAAGTAGTTATAATTTATTACATTTATGTTACTAATATAGTCAATAAAATCATTACCTTGCTTGTAAATGGTTTAATAATAAGAATAGTCTCTCTTATAATTGTTTTTTCATTTGTGAATTGATTTTTTCTTTCATTAGTTATAAAGAATTTATCTTGGTATTTTGGTATTCACAAAATAACCTAACCAACATAACTCACCTAAACTTTAGTAACTTCATACTATATGAAAATAATATTCAATTTATTAATTAATAATCAAATTACCATTCTTAAAGTTTTTCGTTATTCTTAGTTACTTTATGTGACAAAAAAATCAATAAAATACAACCACTAACTATAATGTTATCATACTTCTTAATAAATAAAGTTATAATTAAAAATATTCTCTCAATTATAATAACTTCGTTATTATCTTTTTATTTATTTTTAAGTAAACTGTGTTTATTCTTTATTTCATTGTTTTAATATAATTTAGTTTAAAAAAAGTTATTTGATGACTTATTAGTTTCATGTTACATATACAAAAATAATACTTTTATTGAAGTTTTGTGCCAATACATTTCTCTTTCTCCTCATCATATTCTTCATTAGATTCTTTGAGAATGTGTGGATGTGTGTATCTCCGTTTTCTTCTTTTTATCTAGTCATTTTTGTTTTCTATTTACCAGTTCTTTCATTATAAGTTGTTTAAATGTTGAATAATTACCATAATGAGAATAATGCAGAAGTGATGATGACGACATTTTTATTTTAGTTAAGTAAAGATGATTTTGGTAGTTCATTTGTCATTTAAACATCTCATCATCACCACAATCTCATCAATTCAATCAGTCAAATGTCTTGCAATCAACAAAAAGAGTGTTGTAAAAAAGAATGTCAAGAGAAAGAATGTTGTTGTCCAAGAATAAAAGCATTTAAGAAATTTATAAACACATTTGAAAAAGCACAAATTGGAAAAGAAGCACCAGAATTTAAAGCACCAGCATATTGTCCATGTGGTTCAATCAAAGAGATTGATATTAATGAATATAGAGGAAAATATGTTGTATTGTTGTTTTATCCATTGGATTGGACATTTGTTTGTCCAACAGAAATGATTGGATATAGTGAACTTGCAGGACAATTGAAAGAAATCAATTGTGAAGTTATTGGAGTGAGTGTAGATTCAGTTTATTGTCATCAAGCATGGTGTGAAGCAGATAAAAGTAAAGGAGGAGTAGGAAAATTGACATTCCCATTAGTATCAGATATTAAGAGATGCATTTCTATCAAATATGGAATGTTAAATGTCGAAGCAGGAATTGCAAGAAGAGGATATGTCATCATTGATGATAAAGGAAAAGTAAGATACATTCAAATGAATGATGATGGAATTGGAAGATCAACAGAAGAAACAATCAGAATAGTTAAAGCAATTCAATTCAGTGATGAACATGGAGCAGTTTGTCCACTCAATTGGAAACCAGGAAAAGACACCATTGAACCAACACCAGATGGAATTAAGAAATATTTAACAGCACATTAAAACAAACAAGATAATTTAATACAAATTATTTTATGGTTTATAAGAAGAAAATGATAATAAATAAAAGAATAAATATAATGATTTTAATAAAGACTTTATATAAAATTAAATGTTCCAAATATTCAATTAAATAATGAGTATTATTAAAATACTTAATAATCCAGTAACCAAATAAGAATACTTGCCTTCATTTTCTAAGCTGTTGTCTGTTGTTTCTTCACTTTTTGATGAAGGAATTGAACCATTAGAATTATCATCAACAGTATATGTATCTGGTATATAAGTTACATCAGTATTATAACATTTGCCAGCATCTGGAGCATTTGGATCTTTAATGAGTTCAACATCATCTAGCCAAAAAGTTTTTTTATCACTATTCATATTTTGTCCTCTAAATCCCCAAAATTCATTGTTGGTAATTCCTAAATCTGTTAAAAGAATTTTGAATTCTGTCCATTCCCCTGCTCCTTTTGTTGAGACAGTAATCCCATCGCTATTCAAGTGTTGTGCTTGAACGTTAAAACAATTTGAACATTCGTCCTTTGATTTTAAAAAGAAATGAAGATGAGTATATTGGTCTGCTTGTGCTGGGTGATAGGCATTTAATTGGATTAATCCCCAACCATTCATATCAGCCTTCAAACAATATTCTCCATTCTTAGGATTTTCCTTATCATTTAAAGTTATGTCAGCGTTTACAGGTAAATTTCTGTAAGTTCCTTGAACATCTCCCTCTTTGTAAAGAGTAGAGTAATCGTCTTCCATTAATGAACAACACTCTGTGGTACCGTTTGGAATGTCTATCATTTCAAGTGTATCAATATCAAAATATTTATTATTTGGAATTTTGAAATTACCATCTGCCTCAAAAGTATGTCCTTCATTGCCATCAGTAACACTTATAGTAACGTAAGTTCCAGCTATAGAATAAACTCGAACAATAACTGGGAAACTAAAAGCTCTTCCAATATTCCCATATCTCCATGTATTATATTCTGATCTTGGAACATCGACAAATTCTTTCATTTCATTATCTTTTAATAATAGCTTAGTTATACCAAGTGTATGTTCATGAACAACAAATTCCAAAAAGTAATTATTTGAACCAGAGTATGTTTTTAATTTTAAATTTCCTGTATAGTCACATGCAACCATTCTAAAAGTTACATTAGATATTCCTTCTTCATCTGTAACATATGTAAAAGTATTTTCGACTAAGTCAAAGTGATGCATATCTCCACTACAATATTTTTCATTTCCTTGAACAGCACATTTGTTATCAGCTCTAAACCTAACTGTTCCTTTCGGACCAACAACTTCATAACAAATACCACATTTATTACTGTGATCAAAAAATGCTTCATTTAATGAACCTCCAAACATATATCCAGGAATGACTTGTGTTGGTTGTTCTCCAAATGAACAAGCAGTACCTGAATTCCATGTTTCAATATCATAATGAGTAACTCTAGCTTTAGTACATTCAGACAATGGAATTAATTGATGTTTAGTAACTACTGTTTCTTTCAATGTAGTACAATAACATCCTATATAAAACAATCCAAAAAGAAAGAGGTTGTTGTTCATCTTAATATAAAAATGAATTTAGAGTAGTTTTTAAGAATGATTTATAATCTCTAACTTCTTTTATAAGAGTGTGTTAAAACCCATAAAATAGAACCATTTTATTCACTTTAAATAACGACGAATCTTCATTTTTAACTTATAAAACTATTCAAACTATATAATTATAGTACAAATATTATTAACTTTAACATTTGAATATTCTTCCTCCTTAATTTAACATAAGACTATATTAATGAGAAATTTCATCTTTTAACTTCCTTCTTATGACTTTCATTCTTTTTTTTTGTATTTTAATGAATCAAATTTAATTAAAAAGACTTAGTATCTTCCTTTCGTTTAATTTAAGTTCAAGTATTTAATATATAATATTTATAAAAACCTTCAGTTATTAATTGTGTTATTTAAAAAATAAAATTATTATTAAAGCAAAAAGAAATGAAATGATTTATAAAAACTAAAAGATTATAGTAAAAGAAGTATTAAAAATGATTTTAAAAAAATAATTAATTCTATCTAACTTTTTATAAATCAATAATAATATTATTAATTCTACTAAAAAAAATTACAAAATATTAAATAATTAAAAAGTATATCCTAGAAAAGAACTAATAATTTTAAAATATTAACGAGAATTAATAAAAAAATATTATATTTATTTAGTTAGAACTCAAAATAAAAACAAAGAAAAAAGCGTTGAAGTTTAAAAAAAAAATAAAGAAAAAAGTAACAATAGTTCAAACCTCAAATAAGTTCTATTTAAAAAGAACTTAAAACTAAATATTTCAAATACAAGACAAATAGAAAATGAAAATTATTGTAAAGACTATTCAAGGAATATTAAATGAATATGAAATTGAACCAGAAACAACAACAGTTGGTGAACTTAAAGGAATGATTAATGCTAAACAAGGAATTGATATTCAAAATATTTCTCTTATTTATAAGTCTCGTATGCTTAAAGATAATGCTCAAAATCTTGGTGGTTTAGGTATTAATGAAGGTGATTCAATTGTTATGGTAGTTAAGAAGGTTTGTATTTATTTTATTATAAAAACTATTTTATAGTTTATGTTTTATTTAATTATTGTTCTTCTTTTTAAATATTTAATTAATTTATTCAGAGTGCTGTTCCTCCTCCTAAACTTGCTCCTGTAACCCAACCAGAAACCCACTCAACTGAACCAATTCAACAACCTACTACTCAACCTATTACAACAAACCAACCTTCAACACAACCAGTTGATATTTTCCAATCACAACAACGTCAAACAGTTAACGTTGAACCAACTGAAGAAAATATTAATCATTTAGTTGAAATGGGATTTTTAAGAGATGATGCTATTAAAGCTTTAAGAAAATCACAAAATAATACTGCAATTGCTGCTGATTTTCTTATTAGTGGTGTTGATTTAGATAATATTCCTGATCAACCAGCAGGTAGTTATGAAGAATACCCTCAAGAGCCAGGATCTATTCTTAACTTAACAAAAGATCAATTTATTGAATTGTGTAGAGAACAACCCCAAATTATTGAATCATTCATTCAACATGTAGAATCAGAAAATCCATCAGCCGCTCAACTTATAAGAAATAATCCAGGTATGATCTATGACATTATTAAAAGTCAAACAAATGACAACAGAGTTCCTTCTGAACCACAACATACTCAACCACAACCAAATCATGCTCCTTCTCAACCACAGTTATCACCAGAAGATAATGCTGCTATTGATAGACTATGTGGTTTAGGATTTGGTAGATCACAATGTCTTCAAGCTTATATTGCCTGTGACAAAAATGAACAACTTGCTGCTAATTTCCTTTTAGATGGATTTGATTAATTTAAATTCTCCACTTAAAGTTTTGTTTAAAAGATGATAATAAAACAATGATAAAATGAAGAAGACTAATTTATGACTAATCACAAAATGTATGCACTCTTTTTGAAAAAAAGAGTTTATGCTTTTATCCATCCTCTACAACGTTTAGATTTTTGCTTATTTTAACTTATTTGAAAATAATTAAATTAACTCAATAATTGTAAAATTAATAAATTTCAAGATGATTTAAAAATAATTCTGATATTCAACTTGTTTTGTTTTATTAAATAGAATTTTATTTTGTAATGAATTAACATTAAATATTATCTGTAATATAAAAACCAAAAAATTCATCATCTTCATATTTGTTAATATTTTTAAAGAAATATGGGTTGTATTTTACTATTTTTTTTTTAATTATCCATTAATTGTCTTGAGTTAAAGAACTTTAAAAAATAAATCACAAAAAATATTGTGTTATTAATAGCATTATTTAATAATAAAAAGAAAAGGTTATTAGATTATTATATTTTAAAAGAATAATAAAAATGAATATTTTATAATAAAATTAAAAATAAAATTTTGAGTGAAAAGATTTGCCATTTTCATAAAAAAAAATTGAAGTAGATTTGAATGAAGTAAATTCACTTAAAAGAATTTACTAAAAAAAGTAAATAATTTAGTTGAAGTATTTATCAACCTTATTCTATTATTAAAAATAGTAAAAAAGTTTAACTGACACTATTTATTTTTAAATGAAATAGCTTGGAATTAACTTAATTGAGTTTTTAATTAAAATTTTTAACTAAAGAGTCGCTCTAATTCTCCTTTTATTCAATCAAGTTGGATTAAATTTGGTAGTTGTTTCACACCCTGATTGCTTTTTAAACGCACTCTAAAATTCAATTAGATTCAAAATTAATTAAGATGAATGTAACAACAAACGCTGTTGCTGATGCTTTTGCTGTATTTGATGTTACACCTGATCCAGATGAATTAGCAAGAAAGAATAAAAAACCAGATGATTCAGGAAGTGTTACTGTTAGACAATTATATAGATATGCTAATTGGCTTGATTTAATTCTTCTTGCTGTTGGTATTTTTGGTTCTATTGGATGTGGTGTATTAACTCCATGTCAAATGTTAGTTATGGGAGATATGGTTGATACTTTTAATACAAATGATCTTATGAAAGCCTTCCCTAATCAAGAAGCAATGTATGATCCAAAATATTATATTCCATTTAATCACGAAGTTACTAAAACTGTTGCAGATACTATTAATGACCTTGTATTAAAGATGGTATGTTTTGCTATTGGAAGTGGTGTTGGTTCTTTCTTAATGACTTTTTGTTTCTTTGTTATGTCAGAAAGACAAGGAATTAAAATTAGAATGTTATATTTCAGAGCATTATTAAGACAAGATGCTGGTTGGTATGATTTCCATGAATCTGGTGAATTAACTTCTAGAATTGCTTCTGATGTACAACAAATTCAAGACGGAATGTCTCAAAAGTTTGGTATTATTTTCCAAACAACTACTTCATTCATTGCTGGATATGCAATTGGTTTTGCAAAAGACTGGGATTTAACATTAGTTATTATGTCAATGTCTCCATTTATTGTTTTATCTATGACATTATTAGC